ATCTGATAAACTGTACAAAATCAAACTGAAAAAAAGAAAATTCAGATACGTGTAAACATTATAACACTAAATATAAGTTTCAACCAATTCATAAAAGAAATAGAATTGGATACAAAACAAGTATAATGGAACTGAAATTAAGGTTAAAAGTAAATATATATAATCAAAAATGTCATAAGACAATAATCAAGATAAATAAGTTCATAAACTAACTTAAGATGAAGTAGAACATTGAAAATACAAAACAAAATGCTGTCTCGTCCCACATAAAAACAGAATTTAACCTAATGGTACCTTTAGATAGTAATGTAGATAAAACCAATCAAAATATGGTGTGAACTTAATACAATATGAAACTAACTCAGTATGTAATTATAGTAATTACAAAAAATTAGGTCACATAATAAACTTAGTAAATTTAAAAAATACAGACTAAAGTCACTAGGAATGTTACAGGTTAAATAAAATAATAAAAATAAACTGAATCAAATGAAAGTTGAATACTACATAAACTAAAAATTATGCAGAGATACAAATCTGATAAGGCCAAATATGGCACAATGGTTAGTTTGCTAAACTGTGAAGCTGAAGTTCCATGATTCACGTTCCGTGACCAGCAAAATAAAACTGTGCTCCGCACATTGGGGCTGTGGGTGTCTTATAAGAGTAATGGTCAACTCTCATGATTTGGCCCAACAGTAGTAGCTGAAGAGATGATAGTGAGCGGTGCTAACTAGCTGCTTTCCCTTTATCACTTCAAATTAATAGGGCTAGTGCAAATAGCCCGCGTATACTTGTGCACAAAATGCAACAAAAACAATATATAAAATATCTTCTGCAAGAGACAACCTTCAAGGTTCACTGTATGTTACTGCCACTAAGTAGAGATTTTCTGGAAGGTACTCTCTAGCCCTCTACAATCTTTTTGGTGTATACTACCTCATCCTGGAAATGCCAATTTCCTTGGACAAGCCATTGGTATCTGTTACTAAAGGCTTCACCATAGCTTAGTTGATCCTGTCAGAGATCTTACATCTATGAACTGCCCATATCCAAGAATTGTCTATATTATTGTTGCTCCTTGATTCTTTTGAGGTTCATCTACTTACTTTGTTTCGATGCTTTCCGATCTTCATTTGGAGGCATAGATCTGCGAAGGTTATTTAGGAGTTATCTAGGATAAACTCTTTCACTGTACATGGATGTCTATGTCAACCTTTTGGATTCTCACCCTTCGATATACTTGGCAGAATTGGGTTGGCCCTAGTGAGTTGAGCCAAGGCAGTAGTGGATGTATAGTTTGCTTCTGCTTCTCTGACTTCTTTCCCCAACACCAAGAGCTTGGTGCTGAGTTATCCAGTCTGGCTAGGTTCAATGTGGGTCTTGCTGCAGAGCTGCATAACATCATCTCGTCCTTGTACGCTTTCAGGAAATATTCCATGACAGTGTATAACAATGAATTAGACAAGTTTAATCAAGATAGAACGTAGGATATGAGAAAAAAAATCATAATATTAACGGAGAATAAATTCATCTATACTGCAAGAATGATTTTGTTCCAAGGAATAGTGAATGTCAAATTTCAGAGCTTCTATGGAATATTACACACACGATTACTTTAATCAAACATCTGTTCTACTTCCTCTGGCAATGAGTTATAGGTTCAATGAGTACAGTAATCACAAATATTTAAAACACTCAAAAAATAAAAGTTTTTAAGTATACAATGAAAAACTTTGTCCTGATATAAAAGACTGTTTAGTTTAGATATTACTGATTATTACATTTTTGTGATTGAATATGTTATTATTGTTTATTTTTTGTTATAATAAGAGCTAAAAGCAGTAGATTGTAGGAAGTTGTGTTTATAAGTCATTGATGTTGAGACTATCTAACGTCGCGTGCAATACATTGATGTCGAGAATATAGAGATATAAATAGTGTGAGACGAGCGGAAACAGCAGACAGGCAATAGCAGAAAAAAAGTATAGTCGCGGCCAAGGAAAAGTTCGGCATGGAGTTACCTACCTTAGAAGTGATAGGCCTAACGATTAGCATAGGGTTAACGTTTAATATGTTGGAGTAAGACTAACAGTAGAAAAGGAGATAAGAAAAATAATTTATTCGGTCAATGCGAAATTCTAAAGTAATTGAACCAGCCTGAGTGCACTTTGACAAAATGAACAGAAAGCATTTAGGAGAAAGAAGACCAAACGATTACGGTAACTCGCCCCCACAATTATAAGTGAATCACACACAGAATACTAGTGCGATAGTAATAGAAAAGATAGTTCGGCTTAACAACTGAAATTCTAAAGCAATTGAATAGGCGTAAGTGGACTTTTGACAACAAGAAAAGAACTATATATATATATATGTATATATAGGGTTTATGATATGCCTGTAATCTCTATAGTGTGAAAATTTTGTTGTACATATGTTTTACTTGTTCCGAATATATATATATATTATTTTGAAAACAAGTGAAGTCGTGCTGTTCTTTTAAGTTAAATGTATCGTCAACAACTCACAGACACCTACTGTAGAAGAATCCTAAGCCCAACGACAATATAGTATATATATTTATACTATTAAGAAAAATAATTAAAAGCCTTTTATTTTGACAATTGTCGAAGAATTATATTTTAAATTTTGAGAAACTTTATTCTGAGACCATCACAGGTCTCAAAACAGAAACATTACAGGTTTCGACATCGAATCAAGTCATCCTCAGAAGTGTGAAGTCCAAATTAGTGCAAAACACACACACACACACATACAAAAAGCAATTGGTCATGTGAATACTTAGTTTACATACTGAATTTAAAGAAGATCACACCATCTGACTTTTTAACTCTTCATCTTTATTTAACATATGATAATTATTTTCAATGTGTTATATTATTTCTATAGTTTTTCTACTATTTCTAGTCGTCACATCATTCCACCAAAATAACAGTTTTTCCCACTAATGACATGACTGGTAATATTACGGACTTATTCCGCTAAAATCCGAGGTTATATTCCACGCAATGGACTTATCAGATAGCCCAAGGTGGCTTTGTTCTAAAACAAACAACTTATTTTACATTTCTTGTATTTTAACCAATATATACACAACAACATTCGTATTCAATTTTGTAAATACCCGTTTATTCCATTAAATTAATTACATCTTTAGTTTTATTTCATATTTGACTAATTTTATTCAAAGGTCTATAAATCGGATTAAGATTTTTTGTTTTCCTTTTTAAATTTGCAAAACATTTGATATGATAAACCACAAACATATAGAAAAAATAACGTTTCCGTTTTATCTATTTTATCAAACGTTAATTTCAGCTTAATGTTTTGATCATCATTGTAATTTACTAAACATTCTCACTGCTCAATCAACAATAGCCCCCAGTGGCACAGCGGTATGTCTGCGGATTTATAAAGCTAGAATACGGATTTTGATACCCCTGGTGGGCACAGCACAGATAGCCCATTGTGTAGCTTTGTGCTTAATTACAAACAAACAAACAGACTATCAACAATATTAGGTGAAAAACCTATACTTAATGCTACGTATTTGATTAAGAACAGTTCATGTTTTAAGCCTTCTTGTTTGGAACATAGGTCTAAGGACCTGTAAATATAAGAAGAAAAGCTGACATTGTTTGGGAATTCGTATGGCATGATTCTTGGTGTGGCGGCATGATAAACAGTGCTTCTAACTTATTTTTTGTTTTTCTTAACTAATATGTCAAAAAACGGTAAACTATTATTTATTTCGATTTCATAAATAAATTTAATATCGGGTTCTAAATTATTCTATACAATATCTCACATACTTGTAAATTCTTTCTCCTTTTCCTAACTATCTAAAAGACAGAGCTTTGGTACCAGGAGGTAAGAATGCATGCCAAAGCCTTACTTGGTGACTACTGAAGTTAAGATAATTACTTTAAAAGCATTGATTAAAGTTTCTAACACAGATGGTTTCGTATCTTGTGTATTCACAACACAATCATACCTATCTGATGCACGTTAAATATAATTTAAATATACATGTAGAAAGAAAATTGTGCCTGATTTGGCAAATAAATCCATTTATTTCATATAATTACACAAAATAACACTACAAATAAATGTAGTTAACATAAGAGTTGTGTATAACTAGTTCCACAATGACTTAAGAGCATATTATCACGAACTACCACTTTCCTGTGTATGATGCAGTACACTTACACTCTAAGCTGTATTTCTCACCTGAACATTAGGGAATTCAAATAGCAAATGATTAATTGTTGCTTCAGTCAAGTAGTCACTGGTTAAGCTATCATGGAGAAAAAGACCATAAACTATCGATAACATGACATACAACCTAAGAAACATAGATTTCTCAATTAGTCTCAGGCTGGAACTAGTCCTTAACCACTACACTCTCCCATGGTAACCAGACACTCTGATTCTCCCTTCCTGTATTAAACATACAAAATGACATTATGCAAGACTTATAATCTCCTTCTCAGGTGCTGAATGTAATGTTAGGCCTATTTTCAACATCTAGTAACTAGGATCTAAATCAAGTGTATTGAACCAATGGGCTCTCTCCCACATTTTCAAACATTTGTCCATAATTTTGAGCAGAATGGAAAGGTATTGCCGCGTGTTGCAAAGTTCTCCCACCTAAAATTGACATAAGACTTTGTTGTTTCTTCCTTCAGTCTGACAATGGTCACTGGAGATGTCATAGAACTCTACTAAGGCTATATTATGTCCCTAACTCCATATGAACATGTACAAATGCAGTCCTCTGTTCACAGACTCAACAAGGTCAGCACTGGAGAATATTTGCCATAGAGCTGCAGTTCATCTGTTGCACAAGCAAAACCTGTTGAATAATTCCACAGTTGTTCCGTATTCAAGGTACTATTTGCCTGAACCAAAGTTCTGTTTAGGAGTGGGGTGCAGACATATCTGTAGCCCATGACTTGGTTGTCCTCAGTTCAAACTGGGGCTCTTTCTTTCTTAGTTCTGGCATCTTCAGGAGCCCATTTTCTGCTGTATAGGTAACTGGCCTCAGGAAATCCTGTTGTCCAACCCATAATTATGGTTTCTGCACCATGTTGAAGCATATTTTCCAGTGAAACTGGTGGGTGATATTTTTGTTGAGCCTTTGAGGCTATGTCATACCAAAAAATAGTTCCAAAGCTGACTCTATAGTAATAGTTGCCACTTTTACTGTTTTTTCTCTCTGCTATAGTGCATTGTTTGTGACCTATTTAAACCATGTCACCCCAGATATTACCTCCATAATGTCCTTGGTCTATATGGGTTTGCTTGGTAATGCTCCACTAACCTATTGATAAGTATTGAATCATAACATTAAAATAGTAGTAGTTGCCACTTTTACTGTTTTTTCTCTCTGTGCATTGTTTGTGACCTATTTAAACCATATCACTACAGATATTACCTCCATGATGTCCTTGGTGTATATGGGTATGCTTGGTAATGCTCCACTAACCTATTGGTAAGTATTGAATTGAAAAAAGGTTCCCAGTGGTTCAAGAGAAGAAACTAGAATTTAGGAAGCTGAGTGTAGATAACCCAGCTTATGGCTTCAAAGTTTTCATGAATCTCAAGAATACTATATAAAAGTTTTCTGGCTCAAGAAAGCAAGAAACATACTAGATGCCACCTCCCAGCTTATGGCAAGAGAAAAGGCTACAGGAATATCTGGAAGCTGTCAGAGGAATGGTAACCTTTCTCCTTAGTTCAAAGTTTCTCCTTCCAAGGAAACTGAGCAGGGATATTTTGGTCTAAAGTATCGGTCACCAGAAAGAGGAGAAAAAGTGGAGATGGGTATGTAAAACAATAAATCAGAAAGTAAGAGCCTAGTAAACTCCATTTTTGTCAGTAACACCACTTAGATTTCTTGGGGAATTATGTAGCAGCTGTCACTTTACTGCACATCAGTGTCTTCTAGTCCCAACAGAACTGATTCAGCTTACAACCATAGAAGATATCATTTTGCTTATTTATCATAGAGGTTTTCTACAAGGGAAAGGCATAACTAAAATTCAAACTAAAGAATAGAAGTAGGAAAAAATGGTAGGGATTTGAACAAACTGAGGACCAAGCCATTCACTGTACTGAAATTAAGGCTCTAAATCTAAAGTTGGGATTAATTGCAACATTACAATGCCGTTAACCATAATTCATCACGTAAAGCAAAGTTAGCTTATAATTCTTCAGAATGGATTGGATATATTCAGATTTCTGAGAAATACAAGGTGCTTCCTAGTATCAAACCTTAATTTCTGTGAAATTGACAAAATCTCCTAGAAAAGAGCTACAGAGAAAAGAAAAACAATAAAAGAGAATGCTTCGATAAAAAGTATTTACTATAAAAAATGACAAATATAAAAAAGCAGAAAGTACATATCTTACTGTGCAGTTACTGTACTGGGCCAACATATATTGATGGTGGAACCTAGTAGGAAACCTGAATGAAGTGACAAGGGAACTTAATGATAGTGAAGTATTCAATGTAGACTTATCAATACTTCACTGACCTGACTACATTCATGAATTAATAATCAATTTAGCCTCCCACAAATGACACATAAATCTAGTTCAACACTCTCATCTTCCGATACCAGGTCATTTTGATTACATAATCTTGATTGTTGTCTGTGTAGAACCAACATGACCAAGCAAGTTATTGATACAGGAAAAGTAGCCACTTTGGGTATTGACCTGAATAAATGCAGACATATCTAAAAAGGAATAGGAGATAATGCTAGAGGAAAGGGTGATAAAGCCTTCAGAAAGAGCTTGGTACTCACGCACAGAGTGGTAAGAAAGAAAGAACACATTGCTCCAATATGGATTTCAGGAAGGTGAATGTTTCCATGCAACATTAACTACCTTGCCAGCATAATCTCTGGATACCAATTCTTACCATTAAAATCAGGGCATTGACATACTCAACTAACGGAAAGCAGTGGCTTTAAGAATATTCTCCTTGAGACAGAGACTTTGTGAGTTTAAAACAAATGCCGTTTGGCATGTGTAATGCCTCACACCTTACAAAATTATTGGAATGAATTCTAAGAGAGCATCACTGGGAGCATTGTTTAATAAATGTAAACAATGTATTGGTCTTTGGGCAAGTTTTACAAGAATCCTGAACAATTTGAAATAAGTGTCAAAACTGGCATTCCAGAGATTCTGGTCTAAGCAGACACCTTTGTTTTCTATTCTTAATGTTAGACCTGACTTTATAGTTAAGCACAAATAGGGACGAAAAGATGGTAAAGCTCATGGAATGTTCAGGGAACTGATGTGAAAATGTGCATTTGGAGAATACCTTGATCTTAATCATAATAAGCTGCAGGAAGATGCAATTTTCTCTCTGGAGATTGCATGAGTAAAGTAAATAGTTGTAAGTCAGTATACCTAGGTTCCCAAGTTGGCAACAACATAAAAGCTCCAAGAAATGAAGAAAAATAACACAATTATCACCTAGTTTATAATCTTCTGAAATAATGGGCATTCCACAACCAACTTGAGAGAGGTGGTGAGAGTTGAAGGGTTAGATTCCAAGTACATACTGCAATCAGTACTGAAAGTTAAGTATATATTATATTATAACGATTTTCAATATGCAAATCAACAATTCATCATGACAACCACAGGTCGTTTAAAATTGTGATTAAGCAGAATTTATGAAAACGCAATTTTACATTGTTTAGCATTATGAAGGTAGTGTGATGCCACTAAATACCGAAAAATTTTGGGAAATGTATGTAACAGTACTTTCCAATGCAAAATAGTTATTCACTCATATCATAAAGATGTGTTCGTATCTGGAGTTTAGAATAACCAAGACTTTATGTCATTTGAAAACAAAGTTATATAAATGAAGTTGGGATACCATGGCCATCCAGAAGAGTCCTGCAACAAGTCATATCCCAGCCGTGATATCTTGAAACAGGTGAGAATACAGGAAGATGAGTAACATTAGCAAAAGCCTTCAGTAAGCAACATAACCAAGAGATATTTCCAAAAGCAGCACAAGTCGCGTTTACACAAGCTGCTTCTATGACATATTTGTTACACCATCACATACATCAAGCAACTGAATAATGAAATGGGTATACATGATATTTCATTTGAAGGCATACTAGTCAAGATAGTCAAGGCAATGGCTACGGATTTTTATGTGACTAGACTGTTGAAATGGGCACTGGGGAATCATCATCCTCGTACACTAGATGGGCTATTAAAAACATGCAAACAGGGAGAAGTTGTACATATAACAGCCTTATGATGGATTCTTTTGTAATGGAAACCACACTGCGGGGCTATAGTCACGATACATTGTTATCAAATAGAGCATCAAAAGACATGGTGATATGGACCATAATGAGGAGGTAAGGTTCTAAAAATCAAACTCGAACTCTTTATAATGTCTTTAGAAGTTTACCATGGATTTTGTCATAACGACAAGGTTTGGAAATAAATAAAAACGTAATTTGATTATTTGTGATAATGAAGCCACTTTATTAGCTGTAAGTTGAATGTTATCTGGGTATCGAGTTGTCTCCAAGAAGTTTAAAGTGGAAGAACTTTCTGGTCTAGTTTAAAAAAAAGAACATTACAATACTTCCTTGATGAAGAGTAAAAGAAAGTCAAAGCCTGGAAACATTCACCAGAGACCTTTAGGAGTTTATTTGGAAAAGCTGCTATAGGAATAATTGGACTTCTGTTCCTGACACTAGAGGAAACCAGTATATATATATTGGTTTTGATTACTTCACAAAATAGATTGATGCATGCCATAAAACGTACTATTACCAAACAGCATATAGTTTGATTTATGATCCTTAGATATATACATGTGGTTCAAGGAGAAAATTTTGAAAGCAAGCAATCTACTCTGTTAGACTTTTGGAAATTTGAAAAAGAGAATCAATCTTAATATGACGTGTTGTCAGAGTTCACTTATCAAATGATAGGGGAGGATTAGAATAATTGGGATATACATCTACCTTATTTCTTAGTAGCACATTGAGCCATAAGCTACTTGTGTATGTTATACTAGTGAGTGAAACAACACTTTCTGTTGATATAACGTTTGGGTCATCACCACAGGAAGAGTTGTAGTGAACCAATGTATGTCATCTGATTAAATGATCCATCCAGGGAAAACAATGTATAAAACACAACCTATGGGCAAAAAAAAAACCATATGGTCCTTCAAGGCTATTCTTGCATACCCACTCTTGGCCAAAGTAAAAATCTAAACCCATTCTTTACTTTTCAGGAAATACTTTATCCCCTTTTATACTTCGATAGAGTTGGCCTCTATTATCAAACTCTATAATTTTCCTATTACAGAAGTAGGACTAACTGGCCTATTATTTCCAGTGTAACTCTTATCACCTCTTTAAAAATTGGAGTAACATAAGCAGCTTTCCAACGCTCAGGCATCTTAGTAACATTAGTTGATTTTCAATCTTCAGAAACATTGTGAACATTTAAAGAGATAGGCTTTCATACCTGATATTTGACCTCCTTTAAAACCCTTGGGAAAACTTTGCTTAGCCTTGGTGTTTTTTCTACTTTTATTCTCTCAATCTTCCAACTTACCAACAAGGGATTAATATCTACATGATTTAGATCATTTCCAATAATGCTCATAAAATGCCATAAAAGGTCAGAAATATTATTGCCTGAGAATACATGTGTACAGCTACAAGAGCTTCCACAACAAACACAAAGATGAAGAGCACTATTATCAGACTAAGGACTATATAAATTATAAAAACTAAGGACTGTAAGGACTATATATAGATAAAGAATCCTAGAAAGGTGAAAAATGGAGAAGAGTGAAGAAGATGCACAACAGCCAGACGAAATGGAAAAGAAACATTCCATCCCCGTAATAGAGAAAGAGTTAGGAAGATAGTGTCCTTCAGTACTTAAATAATGGAATCGTGAACAGAGAAAACTGCTTCTCGTGGAAAGGGGGATGTGTTCGAAGATTTCTACAGGAAAAATCACTGGGTGAATGAGAAGACCTCCAGTGTGATTACAGTAAAGTTAAAAGAAAGAAAAGAAAACTATTTACCAGTTCTGTGACCCTTGCTTTGGAGACTAGAAAGAAAAACAAAT